CAAATCGCACATTGTTAAAACAACAATTACGATATTATACTGTTATTATACTGTTTCGATTTTTATAATGCATTGTCTTCTTATCGATCCACCAGTTCACATTTAAAGCTCTGTGTGTTTGTAGGGTAAAAACATGGGTCGATTTTCGCATTGGTCTGAACTCTGATCAAAACAACAGTTTTATTGAAAATGCTCATTCATTCCCTGCCAGCAGGTGGAGCGTTTGGTAGAAATATCACTGTTTCCCCGGTAACGGCGGAACACAAAGCAGTGCAGCACCGGACTTTGAGCCTGCAGCGCTCATGTTTATTTAATGAAATCATAGCCTTTTGAAGTTTAATCGTCACATTCAGCCATATCGCAATTCTGGTCTTTCCGTCCCCAAATTTAAGACCTCTTGAAATCATAATTAAGACTTTATTGTACAATTTAAGACTTTTTAAGGCCTTAAATTTGATACAACTAAATTTAAGACTTTTTAAGACTCCGCGGAAACCCTGATATTAGCGAATTAATTCTACAATGAAATTTTGCTCTTTTAATAATAAAATCAAATATCGTATTATATAAAACACTCTTAACCTATTAAAAAGGTTGTCCTAATAAGGTTACATGTAAACATATCTACATTATTTAGTTATATACATTTAGTAATCTTACATTTAAATGATTTTGAATTTCAGTGATTTGATATTAAAAAATATTATAAACACAATATTTCAGTGCACAATTTGTTGCTTAGTTTGTTTGTTGGTTTAAAATTTAGCACCATGCCAGCTACCAATATTATTTTCATGGCATGAAACTGGTTAAATTATAGCATTATATTTATTCTTTTATAATAATTATCAATTTTGGAAACATTTTTTTACAGCTTTGTATTTTTGTGGAAACTATTATACATTTTTAATTAAATTAGGATTTTTTTTGGTTAATAAAAAGTTAAAAAGAACAGCACTGAAACAGAAATCATTTGTAACATTATAAATGTCATTACTGCCACTTTTGAGTAAAAGTGTTATTACTATTTTTAATCTTATCAATATGATAGTGTATCACGGTTTCCACAAATAATATTAAGCATATTAAGCAGCACAATTTATTTTAGCATTGATAATAATCATAAATATTTCTTGAGCAGCAAATCAGCAAATTAAAATGATTTCTGAAGGATCATGTGACACTGAAGACTGGAGTAATGATGCTGAAAACTCAGCGTTGCATGACAGAAATAAATTACATTTGAAAATATATTCAAATAGAAAACGTTTTTTTTTTTATTGTGATAATATTTTACAATATTACTGTTTTTAATGTATTGTTGATCAAATAAATGCAGACTTCTTTCAAAAACATTAAAAAGTCTTCTTTTAAAGCTGTGACCAGTAGCGAACATTGCATTTTTCACTTGTTTATAGACAAAAAGAAAAAGTTTCTTACTCAGCGATGTAGATGCTCTGTCGTATGAAGTCACTGCAGCGCTGCGGTTCCTTCATCCCATCATTCACACAGCCCAGATTCAGCAGGAGACGGGCTTTCATCTCACTCAGCTCTCGTGAGGATACGGTACCTGCAGAAACAGAGATATACAGTATACAGAGCAGATCATCATAGTATATCACATACTAGTAGTAGTATTCTGACCAGGTAAACCATTCAATGCATAAATTCATTCTTTAACCTTCCAGCCGCTCATCTACAATGGCCAAACTCTTCTTGAAAGCATCTTCAGCATGCTTCAAGCTGTCCCGTGAATTGTCCGAATCAAAGAGGAAGAGGTATGTTCGTCCAATAGTGGCCAGAGCCCTCTGCTCCTCTGCTGCATCATGAACAGATCGAGCCAGATTCAGATGAAGCCTCTGGTGCTGAGAGAGAAACTCCATGTGAGAATGACTCCATGCAATCACTCCGATTCTAACTAACATGTACTTGCAAACCTTCAGAGCAGCCTCGATGTTCCCCAGTTCTGCATAGCATTCTCCGATTTTTCTATTGGCCACAGCAGAGCCAATCACATCGTGCAAAATCTCAGACAGCTCCAATTCCTGACGATGCTCTTCAATAGCAGAGCGATAGTCGCCTAGAAAACACATGTGCCAGGCTGATTACAATACATTCATTCAACTGACATCTGTCACAATAATGGTGATAGTTCACAAAGCAACACTTCTAGGGTTTGAACCTACAGCCTTTGGGTTAAGAGACCAAATCTTTACCCATTAAGTCACTTTTATTTTTAAGTCTGCTAAGGGCTTCACTGTCTGTTTTACCCGTTTTAGCGTAAACCTCCCCCAGATGATTGCAAAGACTGGCTTCTTCTTTCAGGTTATTGCTGCTTTGAGCTTTATTCTTGGCCTTCTGTAGTTCTGTAAACACATGAAGGAATGAATGCAACTTATACACCTATATACATGCATTTTGTATTAAACATGTATACATAATTTTACTAAATTATACAAAATCATAGTTGTTTAAACACATTGACACAGTAAATTGAAAATATATTCACTATAATATGCAGTATTATATGTACTATTTATATACCACTAATATAATTTTAAAAAGGATATATATATATATATATATATCAAATTTACCGTTAATATGTGTTTATTTAAACAACTAAGATTTAGTATTGTTTAGTATATTGTTCTAAACCATAACTGTTAAAACAATACATATTAAATAACTATATTTAATAGTATATTATACACATATGACAAGCAATCAAACCAAAAAGAAGTTATTTCTACACACACACACACACATATATATATATATACATACACACACACA